CCAATTTCTGATCCAAACCGCTAAATCACCCTCAATCCCATGCCTCCGTATTTTCTGCAATAGCCTACCATGGGGAACCTTATCAAACGCTTTACTGAAATCCAAATACACCACATCAATCGCTTTACCCTCATCCACCTGTTTGGTCACCTTCTCGAAGAACTCAATAAGGTTCGGGAGGCACGACCTACCCTTCACAAAACCGTGTTGACTATCCCTAATCAAATTATTCCTTTCTAGATAATTATAAATCCTCTCTCTTATAATACTTTCCAACACTTTACCCACAACCGAAGTAAGGCTCACTGGTCTATAATTACCAGGGTTGTCTCTACTCCCCTTCTTGAACAAGGGGACAACATTTGCTAGTCTCCAGTCTTCTGGCACTATTCCTGAAGACAATGACGACATAAAGATCAAAGCCAAAGGCTCTGCAATCTCCTCTCTAGCTTCCCAGAGAATCCGGCCCAGGGGACTTATCTATTTTCACACCTTCCAGAATTGCTAACACCTCCTCCTTATGAACCTCAATCCCGTCTAGTCTAATAGACTGTATCTCAGTATTCTCCTCGACTACATTGTCTTTTTCCTGTGTGAATACTGACGAAAAATATTCATTTAGCGCCTCTCCTATCTCTTCAGACTCCACGCACAACTTCCCACTACTGTCCTTGACCGGCCCCAATCTTACTCTAGTCATTCTTTTATTCCTGACATACCTATAGAAAGCTTTAGGGTTTTCCTTGATCCTACCTGCTAAAGACTTCTCATGTCCCCTCCTGGCTCTTCTTAGCTCTCTCTTTAGGTCCTTCCTGGCTAACTTGTAACTCTCAAGCGCCCTGAGCCTTCACGCCTCATCTTTACATAAGCCTCCTTCTTCCTCTTGACAAGAGATTCAACTTCTTTAGTAAACCACGGTTCCCTCGCTCGACCACTTCCTCCCTGCCTGACAGGTACATACTTCTCAAGGACACACAGTAGCTGTTCCTTGAACAAGCTCCACATTTCAATTGTGCCCAGCCCCTGCAGTTTCCTTCTCCATCCTATGCATCCTAAATCTTGCCTCATCGCCTCATAATTGCCTTTCCCCCAGCTATAACTCTTGCCCTGCTTTATATACCGATCCCTTTCCATCGCTAAAGTAAACGTAACCGAATTGTGGTCACTATCACCAAAGTGCTCACCTACCTCCAAATCTGACACCTGGCCTGGTTCATTACCCAGTACCAAATCCAATGTGGCCTCGCCTCTTGTTGGCCTATCTACATACTGTGTCAGGAAACCCTCCTGCACACATTGGACAAAAACTGACCCATCTGAAGATTTATTGTTAGGAAAGGTAATCAACGGTTATCTGGTTAGATAGGAAATGTAGAATTTGAAATACAAATAGATTAGTCAGGATCTTATTGAACGACAGCAGACCCAGTCAAGCAAATGGGCAACTTCTATTTTTAACTTGCATACTTGTCATTCCTATTTTTATTTCAGTGAAAGCCCTATCCGCTTCTTTGATGGTGCTGAAAACTGATCCAATGAAGAGCAGAGCTGTGGAGACCATGAAGGTACCAGATTGAATCTTAAGTTTGTGCCAAATGAGCTGGTCTCAGGAGGGTTGCAGTAAGAGTGCTATAAGAAACTTCAACACTCCAAGATGCAGAAGGAATATTCAGCCCTGTCTCCCATTACTGGCGTACAATGTGAGACAAAGAACAAATTACTAAGTTCTTTCATTGTACATAAAAGACTCTCTCTGTTAGCATGCAATTGGATCAGTTACAATATCATTATTATAATGACAAAGAGTTCTATCTAAATGTCCAACATTTCTTCAATTACAAATTCCATGCAAAACACACTGGGAGATGGGAAGATAATATTTTAATCCAGGGTTTAGTTTGTAAAATCAAAGAAATAATAAAATTTAAATTAGTTTCCCTCACATGCTTGGTGGATGTTCTCATTGACGGCTATTGTACAGCCAGCAGGGGCCATTAGCCTCGAGTGACCCTGCGTGATTTCCGTTTCTAGCCAATTGCAGTCACCTCCCTTACTGCTCCTATTGATATCAGCCGAGCTCAGTTTAAACAAGAGGAAGTACCCGAAATTCTCTAACCTGCACACCTTATATAACCATTAAATAAACTAGTTCAGACACGAAGGAGAGCCATTAAACATTTGCCCATGAAGCCATCTGATGTTCTGAGCAAGGGTCACCGTACCCGAAACGTTAACTCTGCTTTTTCCTTCACAGATGCTGCCAGACCTACTGAGTTTTTACAGCATCTGCAGTTCTTTTGGTTTTTATGATGATATTGTCCTCTGAATTAAAAGGAATACCTCAGGCACAAACAAACCTAGTTTATTGCTATCACACAAGGGACCACTGAATCTCTGCAGATCTCAATTGCTATTTGTGTAAGAAAGATGCACAAGAATTAATACAAGCAAGAGTAGAAATAAGAATGAGAGAGCACAAATAGGAGAGAAAACGTGTGTTAACTTACCAGCCTTCTGATAGAAATTGGCTGTTTCATAGGCCAGAGCTGCAATCAGACCAGAGTTGTGCTTCAATTCAATGGCTCTTGCGATGGTCACTTCAATTAAAAGACAAATTTGTTACTCTCTTCTGCTACAATATTTCATCATTTGATAGTAACTGCCATCATGCCAAAGAGACAGTTTGCATCTTAAATAAATGCGCAAAGTACTTTACGTTTTACAGCACCTAAGGGATGTCAGGCATACAGGTCATACATATCAAAGACCAGTGGATTGTGTCAAACATATGCTGCCATCTGTTCACAAATAGTAAGGTACTGGCTGTACTTAAGCTACCTTTGCTCGCAAAGCACGATCAGACCAACATCAGATAATAGTGTGGAGCTGAAGGAAGAGGAAAGTTGATGTTTTGGGTCGGGACCCTTCTTCAGAAGAAGGGTCCTGACCCGAAACATCAACTTTCCTGCTCCTCTGATGCTGCCTAGCCTGCTGTGTTCCTCCAGCATCTGCAGTTCTTACTATCTCTCAGAGACCAACATCAGATATGATTTCAGAACCAGGCTTTGTGCTGGATAATCGCGAGTGTGCTGAGAATTATGTTGACAACCAATTTAAGGTTGTTAGTTAGGCTCACACTTGCATGTACTAGAAGCTACTTATATTAAGAGATAGTGCCTTGTTCTTTGCAAACAGAAAAAAACATGTGCACACATTGCACATGTTCCAACTCAAAATAGGTGACAGACATTTGTTAGTTCATTTCTCAAGGCAACACCTTGACCAATCAACCTGCTCAATCTGAAATTTAAACAAAGCCTAATCATTAATTTTCAATAATCATTAACTGGTACATTTTCCATGGCAATGCATCTACCAGTTGGAGTCCACTTACCAATTAATGGGCACTCTCCCCTCATATATAGCATAAATATTTCACTTAAAATTGGTATACTTGTGTTTTGCCCCTTTGAGTGCAGGGCAAAAAGTTTCAACAAAACGTGTATTTTTTTCACCAATGCTATGTCCCCCATCTTTTTAAAGTGATGATTTACCTATACATTTTTCTCTCCTTGCATAGTGCCTACTTCCTGCTATTCCCCTTACTTGAAACTGGAATCATTAGCATTCAAAGGCACAAAAAAGCTGCTCAGCACTACAACACATTGCATCAGTTGGACAAGAGCTACACTGTAGTGATTTGGCACCAGCACTGATTGTCAGGTCACATCTTGGCCAGAGTAAAGGTCAACAGGTTTCCTGCCCTGAAGGATATTAGGGAAGCAGATTGGATTTTGTGGTAGTCCAACAGCTTCATGATCACTTTTACTGTTAACAATTTAAATCCAGACTTACTTTTCGTAAAAAACTCAACATAAACTATCATAGTGGAATTTGAACTCAGGCTGTCTGGGTTATCAATCTAATAACATCATTCACGAAATACCATTTAATAATGGAGGCCAAATTTATATCGAAGTAGCTTTGATTATAGAAAAAGAACTGAAAGTACTAAACACACAGCTATCCATTCATACCTTCTTGAGCCTCAGCTTGACACTGAATGATGTAGGTATCTAGAACCCGTGATTCAAGATCCTTTCCTTTCTCAGGTGCTGTAACAAGCCTGCTTACTTCACCTTCCTTCAAAGATTAAAATTACATTGAATTAATCACATCAATTTGAATGTACTAAGAGATAAAAACAAAAAGAAGACAAAGCTCAATATACTTTAAATCAATCACCTTCGGACTAGATGTCCTCTACACTCTCTAATATATCAACATAATGAAACAAAGTTATATAATGCTTTCACATTGAAATTGGAACTGTCTTCCTCGGGTCTTTGGAGTTTATGATGAGAAAAGATTTCTATCCAAGTACAGCTGTCATTTCCTGCTTAATGGTAACAGTTTTTGCAAGATCAGATTGAAATACATGCTGAGTACATTCAAGAGTTTCCAAGCACTTAACTGTATGGGAACGAGCAAGTTATATACCAAATACAGGCAGTTCTGCTATAATGCAGATTTCATCAAAGCAAATTGACTGTAATACGATTGAAGAATAGTGGATGCAGTTTGGATAATGCGAATTTTCTGCTGTACACGTATAGTGATTTTCTAGCGATTTCCCTATAATGTGATTTTTTTTAAAATAGCACAATGTCACGCATGAACGCAACTATCATGTTATAGGAGAACCAGCTGTAGATCACATTCTAAATAGCAGGTCAGTACAACCAATACCAAGGGACAGAGGCAGGTGTAGGAATGTTTGTACCAAAGTGAAAATATTAAAATCACTGCATATGATGCCAACCCTCAAGACAATCAGCCTCATATAAAGGGCATCCAAGATTTTCCCTACACATTCCCTGGATTGAGGTAGTAGGCCTTGTCTGAGTCAATGAGCTAGGGAGAGTACAACTGACAAGGACATCTCTCTGGGGTGGCACAAAATTACCCAGTACCCAGGAATCAGTATTTAGGGAGGAGGAAAAAAAAACAAACATTCATCACTTAATCAAGGAACAATAAGCAGAATAGTTCTAAGAAAGTGTCACTGGACCCAAAACGTTAACTCTGATTTTTTCTTCACAGATGCTGTCAGACCTGCTGAGCTTTTCCAGCAACTTGTGTTTTTGTTCCTGATTTACAGTATCTGCAGTTCTTTCGGTTTTTAACAACAAGCACAAGCAGCAATCTGAAAATAAACCAGATCTGTCATGACCTGCAAAATTGCTGGATTGCTTGAATTATAATCACACAGTTTGTAGCACAGGAATAAAGTGTCATTTTTTAGGGAAAGAAATCTGCCATTCTTACCCAGGGTAAAGACTGCTTCGTTTTATTTTTCTGTATTTAATGATTGTGGACTGAAATGGGAAAAGAACTTTTAAAAGCCAAGGATTGCTACACCCTTTAAAAGCAAGTTACCTGATACTCATTGTAAGTGTTGTTTACACAGCTGCTGGTTACAGACAAGCTTAAGTAGAGGGATGTGTGCAAATGGAGCTTTGGATGCAACTGTTTAGGCAGAATCCATAGCACCTCTGAAGAAGAAGCTGTTTTTGGCTTGTAGGTAAAGATAGTTTATTTTCCCTTTCTAGTTCCTGCAAGCAGTAACTTTTAAGTGATAATTCAGAGATCTTTATAAATGAAAACCAGTCACCCTATCCATCCTGCAAACAAACTCAGAAGCTTGTGATTTCAAATAAACCTGTTGGACTATAACCTAGTGTTGTGTGACTTCTGACTTTGTCCACCCCAGTCAAACACCAGCACCTTCATATAAATCCTGCAAATAGATTACGGTATCTGGAGAAGGAAGATTGAGAAGTAGCATTCTATTCAGCACAAAATCTATTTAAAGGGGACTCCAGACCCACACTGTTGTGGTTGACTTTTAACTGTCCTCTGATATGGCCAAGCAAGGCATACTGTTACATTTATTTTTAATTTGTCCATGGACAACACCAGCATTTATTGCCCATTCCTAATAGCCCAAGAGAAGTTGGTGGTGAGACAGCATCTTGAGCTGCTGCAGTCTGTGATGTGGTATACCCACAAGTACTGTTAGGGATAGGGTTCTAGATGAAAGAATGTTGCCAATAAATAACTGGCACTTATTTAGTTTGAGGATGAGGGAGGGGGGGATGATTACAGGACTGGTGGCAATATAAGAAATTGTCAAAGTTTCACAAACAAATGAAATCAAAGCTAATATAACATAGCATTGTTGAGAGTGGTCTAAGGTTGGATCACAAATTCCAACAGATACAAGCAAAGTCCTGAAAATGTTGTACTGCTCTGGACCAGCACTACCTTTAGGGGAGGATAAGATGGGGTGGGATATATTCTCCTCGCTGTCGTTTACCATTCTTACATAAGGGAGCATCACGACAATCTACAACCAGACCTTCACTACCTTCTATGATTCACTGCTGTGAATCATAGAAATTTGTAACTTATAAGGCAGCCAATTGGCCCATCAGTCAAAAGAAGGAAAGATTGAGAAAGCCAGATGTTAAATTTAAGATAGTGATTTGTCACCTTAATGTGTTTGAAGATTCCAGCTGCATTCCTCAAGCTTCTGTGCACATCTTTTGCTTCATCCACTGTTATACTAAGCACAGATGAATTGACATTAATTCATATTATTTGAATCCAGAACATGCAATACAAGAATGGTATATTAAATGATGTACTTACTCCTCCTTTCCAGCTAGTCTGGAGGCATATTTGGTATGCCACAAAGCTACGTTAAACTCCATGGAAACCAGATCAAAGATAGCATCCTGCTGGGCACTACAAGAACAAAATTGAAATATTCTAATAAACATTTGCTTCATAAAGGAATGAAATCTGCATCAACCTACCTTGAAGTGTAATCTATTGCAGTGGCTATGTGGGCTGACAGGCAATGAACAAGGACATGCCCTTTCCCTCCATATTAACGGTGAAGAACATGCATGGAAACTGCATTAAGCAGATCAGAGAGAACTGAAGTTACCACTGGCACTTGAAAATAAGACAGTTGATTCCAACAGAATGGAATGCAGACCTTACATTCATAAATTACCTTTTTAAAAACAGGGCTCAAAAATACACCACCTCTTCTGAAGGAGTCAGCTCCTTCATACGTTTAAGAGTCAAAATGCGCACAGGTACGTCTTCCATTCCCCACCCAAGTGACCATCCTTCACTTGCAAGCCTAGATAGAGAATGCTGGAGGAATTTTCCATGGAGTAAGACCATAAGACATAGGAGCAGAAATTAGGCCATACGGCCCATCGAGTCTGCGCTGCCATTCAATCATGGCTGATAAGTTCCTCAACCCCATTCTCCTGCTTTCTCCCCGTAACCCTTGATAATCAAGAACCTATCTATCTTAGTCTTAAACATACTCAATGACCTGGCCTCCACAGCCTTCTGTGGCAGTGAATTCCATAGATTCACTACTCTCTGGCCGAAGAAGTTTCTCCTTATCTCCGTTCTAAAAGGCCTTCCCTCTACTCTAAGGCTGTGCCCTCAGGTCCTAGACTCTCCTACCAATGGAAGCATCTTCCCAACATCCATTTTGTCCAGGCCATTCAGTATTCTGTAAGTTTCAATTAGATCCCCCCTCATCCTTCTAAACTCCAATGATGAGAGCCCCACAGTCCTCAAATGTTCCTCATGTTAAGTTTTCCATTCCTGGGACCAATCTAGTAACCTCCTCTGAATGCACTCCAGAGCCAGTACATCTTTCCTGAGAGATGGGGCCCAAAACTGCACACAATACTCCAAACGTGGCCTGACGGGAGCCTTATAAAGCCTCAGTAGTACATCCCTGCTTTTATATTCAAGTCCTCTCAAAATAAATGCACTTGACTTCCTAACTACTGACTCAATCTGCAAGTTAACCTTGAGACAATCCTGTACTAGAACTTCCAAGTCGGTTTGCATTTCAGACTTTTGAATTTTCTCCCCATTTAGAAATTAGTCCATTCTTTAATTCTTCTTACCAAAGTGCATGATCTCACACTTTCCCACATTGTACTCCATCTGCCACTTTACTCACTCTCCTAACCTGTCCAAATCCTTCTGAAGCCTTACCACCTCCTCAATACTACTTGTCCCTCCATCTATCTTTGTATCGTCTGCAAACTTAGCCAGAATGCCCACAGTTCCATCAAGATCATTAATGTACGAAGTGAAAAGTCGTGGTCCCAGCATTGACCCTTGCAGAACACCGCTGGTCATCGGCTGCCATCCTCAGAAAGACCCCTTTATCGCCACTCTGCTTTCTGCCAGACAGCCAATCTTCTATCCATGCTAGCACCCTGCCTCTAACACCGTGGGCCCTTATCTTACTCCGCAGCCTCCTGTGTAGCACCTTATCAAAGGCCTTCTTGAAGTCCAGGTAGATAACATCCATTAGTTCTCCTTGGTCTACCCTGGTCATTACTTCCTCAAAGAATTCTAGCAGATTTGATAGGCATGACCTCCCCTTGATGAAACCATGCTGACTTTGCCCTATTTTACTATACATTTCCAAATATTTAGAAATCTCATCCTTTACAAAAGACTCCAAAATCTTGCCCATGACTGAGGTTAGGCTAATTGGCCTGTAATTTTCCATCTTTCGCCTTACTCCCTTTTTAAACAGGGGTGTCATGTTAGCGATTTTCCAGTCCACTGGGACCCTCTCCCTGACTCTAGCGATTCCTGAAAGATCACCACTGATGCTTCCACTATCTCTTCAGCTATCTCCTTTAGAACTCTGGGGTGTAGTCCATCTGGTCCAGGTGATTTGTCCACCTTCAGGCCAATCAGTTTTACTAGCACTTTTTCCCTGGCGATGGCCACCATACTCAGCTCTGCCCCCTGACTCTCAAATTTTTGGGATTTTACTCATGTCTTCCACCGTGAAGACTGACACTAAGTAATTATTCATCATATATGGGTCATCCTGTCATTGCTCAACATCCATATACAGAATATTGACAAACTGGCTGCTTTCCTTTACTTGCCTTGATACTGAGGTCAACTGCAGCATCTCAATCATCACTCCAGTTAACATTATTGAACACATCAAATATCGAGCCTGGGACATCTTGCACTGTTTGGTTTAGTACAATTTTAATGACATAGCAGACCTTGAAAGATTTTAAGAAGCAGAGACTGAAACTACTTTGTCAGTCATGTTCACTGATTTCCAGATCTGAACATGCCAGTAGTAAATTACCAACTTTATTAGGTTTTAACCCCGACTGCCCTGCATTTGTAGATTTTCTTTCACATTTTGGCAAAACCTTTGACCCAGGTTTCTCGACAAATTGCAGTGTGGAAACCTTCTCTTCCCAATTCTACAGCACGAGGGGGAACCAGGACAAGCTTAATCATTAACAGAAATTGCAAACTTTCCAACCTTTTTCTTTAAAGTCTCCTTTTCAGCAATTAATGTATCCCTATTGCGTGGCAGTATTAACATTTCATTTCATAGTTTGGCACATCACAGTGAGATATTTCTGGCAGAAAGTTCCAGAGTTCTTTGTATGAAGAAGTGTTTCCTAAATCTCTCTGAATGTCTGATTTTAAGGTTAAGTTCCCTTATTCTTGTATTTCCCCATGAGTGGAAAATATTTCACTTTATCTATCTAATCAATATATTTCAAAAACCTAAAAACCTCACTTAAAAGATGACAATATTTCAGGAATGGAAATCTAATTAATATCTTCCTCGTAATCTAACCCTTGGCATCATGATAGCATTTCATGCAATGCACTCCTTCAGCAAACAGTATAACTGAAGCTATGGTGTCCAAACTATAGACAGTACTCCAGATGTTGTCCAACAAGGAAGAAAAACAAGATGTTGAAAATACTCAGTTGGTCTGACAGCATCTGTGGACGGCGAAAGACAGGTCAAGTTTCATGTATATTTGACTCAATGTCAACTGTTTCTCTCCCCACAGTGGGGAGAGGAGATGCTTATCAAGGCCAGAGGAGTACATTTTGGGAGGTTCAGCTTAATAATTACCCAGTTGTTAGATGAGGTTTTTCATAGTTACGGAGGAAAAGTTGAACAATCAGCTGCATCTGGGAATCTGCCAGGTTGCAATGAAAAACTCCAGCCCGCACTGCTCCAGTGACAATTTGGTAATTGAAGTGTCTGGGTCATTGTGTCATTGGAAAATTTTGATGATAGAGTTCTACAAACCCAAGTTACTAACATAGTGAATAATAAAGCCCCAGCACAGGATTCTACTTTCAGTTCCTTACATTTTAAGTACTTATCCATTATCCTTAATCACAGTCTTCCACCATCCCACCAATCTCTTAACCAGGTCAATTATTCGCTTTCAATTCCAGAAACAAGGTTCAGCTAACAATCTGGTATGCAACAACCTATCGAATGCCTTCTGAAAATTCACAAACTACATCCATTGGTATTCCATTGTGTATCACTTGAATTAATTACTCAAATTTCAACCTTTATGAATGTATGTTGGCTTTGCCTAGTCAGCTCAAGTTTCTACAATTGTTCATTCATGCAGTCCTTATTTATAAATCCCAGGAGCTGGAACCTGATCTGAAAATTGCACAGTATTATCTCAGTTTTGTCCAGACATCCATTAATGAATGCCACTGCCCACTTCATGACCCTCATTGCCACATTCCATCATTGTCTTACTTCAATCAGGTGGTTGCGATTGCCAGGATGATTGGTCATTTCTTCATGAACAATACGCATGCTTTGTTTTGCAGATTAAAAGCTTCTTAAAGTCTCTATTCTGCTCCCCATTCTTTATAATTTCTCCTTTGATAGATACTATTATTCTGATAGTGATGTATAAATACAGGTTAGCCCTCTAATTTCTCTCCAAGTATTCAATCATTGTCTTTGATTATAAACGGCAGTATTCTTCTAACTGAAGATGTTAAACTAAAAGGTCTAGGTTTCTCTCTCATCTTTTTTTGAAGCAATTGAATCCAAAAATCAGCAAAACGGGTTTTGAAGGAGATAATTACTTTTCTAAAACAAAATACAAGGAACTCTGTTTGAAAACTAGCACATATTGACATGTATTACGACTTGCCCTTTTTATCGTCCTCCCACTCCTGGAGTAAGCAATCATACTGCAGACAGGAATGAGGGTTATAGGCAAGTCTAAAAGTAAAGCAGTGCAGAGGTTACAGGGGGCAGAACCTTGGATATAATTACACACAGAAGGAAGGTGACATGGTTAGGTAGCATGGAATGGAAACATGGGATCAGAGCTTGCAATTCAGCCATATACCTGGTGACTCGCTGAAAATGCCTTCAGAAACCATTTTACATCAGGCATTCACTGCTGGCCTTCTGCAGTATGTATGGATCTGTGTCACCTAACAAGTTAAATCACATTTTATTCTTTCTTGGGATGCTGCGCCGGCATTTATTGCCCACATCCTGCGTTATCCTTGAGAAGGTGACAATGAGCAACCTTCTAACAGCACGGCAGTCCATTTGGCATGGTTAGACCCATAATGCTATTTTAGAAGAAGCTCCGTAATTTTGACCCAGGAAAACAGCAATATATTTCCAAATCAGGATGGTGAGTAGGTTGGAAGAGAAATTGCAGGTGGTGAAGTTCCCACCATCTGCTGCCTTGTCCTTCTAAACTGAAGTGGTTGTTGGTTTGGAAGGTGTTATCTCAAGAGCCATTTGGAATATGGTGCACCTGGCTGGGATGCTCTTCGGAGGTTGGTGAAGACTCAGCGGACTGAGTGGCCTTCCCCTGCACTGTAGGGATTCTATGATTATGTGAACATTACCCCTT